CCTTTATTTTTAGCAATTTTTTTATTTTATAAGATAACATTAAGTTTAGACATATGTGGCATTGGCAATGAACGTTAAAGCTGTAAAGATGACTACGGATATTACATTAATGCACCATTATTCAAACTAAAACCGATAAAGTAAAGTTGCACGCTTAATCTTAGTCTTCATAATGCTTTCAATAGGTGCACTTGCTTTACTTTCAAGTTTTCCAATGTTCCCGGTCCTGGATACACCCCATCAGGAAAATATTACACTGTTGCATGAAAAGTATTTTTTTGCAACAAAACACGATAAATAAATAAAAGAGTTAAAATAAACCTTAAAAATACCTTTTTTCTTGTCATTTTTACACTTTAAATGATTATATACTTTTTAGACATTAATTGTACTCAACAAAAATTACTCCATTTAATTAACATTAATTTGCTATTTGCAACTTGCCACTTGGTTATGGAAGAATTATTTGAGGTTGAGATTTTTTGTTGTGGAACGCGATAAAAATAAAAATTGAATTTAGAATTCTATGTAAATTATTCAGATTAACTCCCTACTGCTATAACTGTATCTGTGAGCTTTTGAGTTTTCCTTCCTTAGAAATTAGAATTGCATTTGTGTAATTTCTTTTATTAATTTATACAACAAAGAAATGGAAAGAGAAGAGAAACAAGTGTAACATAAAATAATTTATGTAATAATATATATACATATACATACATATATATATATATATATAAAACTAAATATATGAGATCTACAATACAATTAAAAGCAAATAAAGAGAAAGTAGCTAGCAATAAATTAACTTTAGTTTCTCTATCTTTATATGATTTAAGACGAGGCAATTTGTTGTTAGTTACCTCCATTAAAAGTTGTCCTTGTATTGTCAAGAAAAGTTTTAGATTCAACAATATGACTAAAATCTTTGGTTTGTTGCTCTAAGTGTGATTGGCCAGGCTGGTGATTATCATTTGACACCATATGATCATTTATAATACCTATTATAATGAATTGAAAAAAAATTATAATATATACGAAATTAAAATTGGAAATATAAAATATAAGGGATAAACTTGCTTCAAGGATATAAATGTGCTCTTTTGCACTAAAGGATCTTAATAACTAGTATAAAAGCTCCCAGGATACTTGGAGAAATGTGTATGAAATATCCAAGTTCTAATTTTACATTCTAAATATTAAGAATAAAAAGACAAAAGAAAGAATCATTAAAGATAACATAAGTATAATAAAACTTAATTACTTCATCTTAAAGTTCCTTTTATACAAAGAATGGTTTGAGATTCAACATGACCTATCTCTTGAGCCTGGAGATGAAGATTTGATGTCATACGATCACTTGTAGCATCTATTACAATTAATTGAAAAAGTATTAAATTTTAATATAAAATATAAGAAATTAAATTAATAAAAATTGTATACCTCTTCCAAATTGTATATTATTTTCTAGATTAGAAGGATTGTGTTCTTGATATTGTATAGTAATTCCATTAGAATTATCAATTGGTAGCTTT